AGGGGCCAAGAGAGGATTAATGTGTTGGAATGGTTGGGCCCATGTACTTATGGGGGATAAAGGAAGAGCTTGGAAGCTGGGAATAAATGCTAGCAAAGGGAAGGGAGGCTGACTGATGAGTTGTGGAAGGTATCTGAGTGCCTATCAAAGGGGCATTGGCATCTGGAGTGAGGAATGACAGTAGAAGAGAGGCTAGTATCAAGTGATTGATATAAAGTTGCTTGTCGTGAAGGCTACAGTTTGTCTTTTGGGACCAGATGGTTGTTGGGGGAGGGGTGAACAGGGGGGTATTGGGAGGACAATCAGGACTGAGGTGATGTGAGGGTTTTGCTCCATGGGAAGGTGGGGCAATTAAGGTCAGGGCACTTGTTATGAGGTTTGCATGCTAGCTTAAAAGTAAGAAGATGCCAGCAGAGAGGAGTTGTTCAAGGACTTGCGAAAGAAAGTTAGAGAGTTTAAGGAGTGGGGAGGAAGTTAGTCAGATGTAGAGGGCCACACAAAGGCAGCTAATTCTCAGGGACACACGAGTTAATTCTCTGGACAATCTAGACCCTTTTAGCCCTGTTGTTGACATTGATTAAGCCAATTTACTTGCAAGAGAATACGGTTGAAAATGAGGAGCTGAATGAACTGCTGGGCCACTGTAATGTAAGGAGGTGCCCATCTCCTGCAGGCAGGTGTTGAACTCTGAACCTGCTTTTGGCTACCCACAGAAACATTGATTTAAAACCCCTTCGAAATCCAGAGGGCACAAGTGCCTAATTGTGTCCTTTGCAGCCCAGCCCCATGGCCCTCCCTGCATGCAGCAGTGTCAGCAGGGCTCACCCTTTGCACAAGGAGGACACAGGCCGAGCTCTGCTCCACACTCCCAGCCCCAGCATTGGCCTCACTCTCTAGACTTTCACCCAGCAGGCTACTTACTTTTTAATTAGATATCTTTAAACAAAAAGTGAAAGTATTTGTTAAAATCCATTTGAATAAACAAAGGTGCTGAGCGGACTGTGAAGTGAATAGGAAATGAAAGTGACTCACCCTCTGAGGGAGAATTTTGTCAGCCATCTTCCTCCTCTTGGCACTGTACATTTTTTAAAGAAAAAAACACGTTACCATGGTGACAGATCTAGGAGTAACGAGGCCACCTGCTAAATTATCCTGACATCTCCACATGCTGGTGCACAGCTGTGCATGTATCGGCAAAAGGGTCTCACCCATACCCAGTACTTAGGACCTCCTCTCTCAGCCGCTTCAAGGGGTGGGGGTAACTAAGAAAAAATCAGGGCTTTCTGTCACACATCTTGGGGAAAAAGTCTTCAAGTTCTGTGATCACAGGGTCCTCTATAGTATGGGGCAGCAGTGTGTGCGTGTGTGTGAGACATCTATGCATACATTATGAATGTGAGAGTCTGTGCGAGAGCATATATGTAGGAATGTGTGTAGCCATATGTAGATATGTATACATACACATACATTTGTGTGTATATACATATGTGCATACTTGATAGTGCATATGTCTGTTGATTGACTGTTCAAACAGATATGCTAATATGTGTCCATGCATGCCCATGGGAGGGGGAGGGTGTGTGTGTATGAGAGTGCGAGAGAGAGAGAGACTGTGCACACACAGTATGCATATGTTCACATGTGATTTACACAAGCATGTGTGGATATGTATATCTGTGTGTGTGTGTGTGTGTGTGTGCCTGTGTGTGTATATATCAATATGTGCACATACATATATTATGCATCTACATTCCAAGCACAGGTGTATATATATATGTGTGTGTGTGTGTGTGTGTACACACACACACACCTCTCTATATCGGGCACCTGTGTGTGTGTGGGTGGGTGGGTGGGCGGGCGTGTGCATAAGGCATGCTGATGAAATAGGAATCAGGCAAAGGCAGTGTCCCTGGATTTTGACTTTAAACTGCACACACTGTTGGTGCCCATCAAGCTGTTTCCTTGCAGCCCCAGCAGTTCAGAGAGAGGAGAAACTTGGCTCCCCTCTGCTCAGGGGAGTGACACCTCCATCCCTGGAGCAGGGGATCAATCAGTCCTCTTTGGGAGGCGAATGAGGACGAAGGAACCCCTCCCCCGCCAGGCCCTGGGGCTGCTCCTGCCCCTCCTCCCCCATTCCCATTTCTCCTGAGAGGCCCCTTAGTTTCTGTCTCCCCAGGACCAATGTTTTTACCTTTTTCCAGGGGTGGTACATGCCCTTCCCACACTCACTAGCGATGTGCACCTTCCTCCTGAGTGGGGCCTGGGACACCAGTTTCTCTGCTCTTCTTGGGGCCAGACCCAAGGCACTGTTTGGGGGGGTGGGAATGTAAACTGACCCTCCCTCAGGCCCAGCTCTGGATTTGGCCCAGGGTTTTTACACATCCATCCGCTGGCCACATGGGCAGGACGCCCTCTTGGGACAGTGGCCCCTTTAGGAAGTGAGGAATGCTGGAGCCGAAACATTCCATGGCAGTTTATGGGGGAGGGGCTGGGACTCTGACCTGATCTAGGGGCAGGGGGAGAGGGCGGGGGTCAGGGGAGGGGCAAGGGAGGAGCTAGTGCCTCTGGCCTGGCCATGGAGGGAGGGGCTAGTGACTCTCACCAGACCTAGGGAACAGCTGGAGAAGGAAAAACAAACACCCCAGAAATGACAGGAGGTGATGCCACAATAATTGCAGGAGAGAAACAGTGACTGGGTGAGCCAGAGTCTAAAGGAAATGGGAGCGTGCACCTGCAGCACCCAGTAAAACTGAAAGAGAGTTACACCACATCCATTCCCCCAGAGTCTGATAGAGACAAGGGAATTTATCCCCTTTCTGCCTAAACCGAGCCTCCCATGGCAAGGATATTTACCCCCTCCCCTAAGCCTGCCAGAGTTGGGAGGGGAGTTAGTGCGGGGAAAGCAGAGGAACTTCTGAGAAGGGGACAAGAGAGGGGAAGAAAACCAGGGTAAAGAATACAATAAACTCCATGGAGAGGAGATATGATTGAGGAAACATAGGGAGCCTTTTGGTGCCTCCTGGAAGGTGAGCAGGGCTCACTCACTACAACAGGGTTTCAAACTGCAAGAAAATTTGAGGATCAGAAGGTGTTTTCTTCTGCAATGGGGACTTGAAACAGACTAATTCCCATGTGACAATCCTTGGGAACTCCACTCACTCTTAATCCACTAACATTCTTGCTGCTGGGGCCCTTCTAGGGTGCATCCCAGATGCATGGACAGTCTCAGCACACATTCTTAAAGCTCGCTAGATGCTCCAGTGCAAATACCCCGACTCACAGGAGCTCCCAGTGCACTGAACCGAAAGAAGCAGGTATTACATGCAACCAGTGGTACTGACACCACTATTACACTGCCTGAGCCTGCAAGTACCCATAATGTTTGCACAACAGATGTGCAGTTTCTGCAGGTGAATGTGCCTCAAGCATTTATCAACCATAAATCTAGGCTTGAGGGATTGGCTCACACTTTGCAAATTCAGAATCTGATGAGTTCTAACCATTTATGCTTTTTAAATAGCAATTATAACTATTATTTAATTGCCAACAGTGCACTGGGTGTTGTATGAGATTAAAGATGGGCAAATTCTGCCAGAAAAGTACATACACATCAAAAATGCCCCCCTCCAACTCTAGTTAGTTACTTTCTGTAAATTTCATTAGTGAATTTCACCAGTGAATGTTTGTAGACAATGAAAAACTCATGAATACTTATGCAAATGCATTTTGCACTAGTGCTCATGGTATAAGTGTTCACACCACCAAGCTAAAATCTCTGATTTGCCTGCTCCTGTTTATAAAATATTCAGTTAACCAATCAGGGAGCAGAAGTATTATTATGCAAAATAGGTGACCAATCATACACCACAAACAACAAAAAGTTGAAGACAAAAGTCAAAATACGTAGTTAGCAAACACTCTATAGATTGAATACAACTCGACCCGATAGCTTGAAACATGCACCAAACATTATAACAACTCCAAATAAGAAAATTAATAGAAATCAAGGTCTGGTCAGAGACAATTCACAAATGAAAAACTATTCAGTGAATTTTGCACTGTCACAGTCCCTGCTCCAAGCAGCATATAACCGATAAATAAGGCTGCAAGTTTGTCAAAGAGGTCACGGAAGTCCTGGATTCCGTGACCTCTGCAGCGGCCGGTGGCTCAGGGACAGCTCAGGCAGCCCCTGAGCCAGACACACCAACTGCTGCTGGGGCAGTCTCGAGCCACACAGACACACAGACACACAGACACACAGACACACACAGCAGCAGAGTTTGGGTGTGGGTGGGGGCAAGGGATTGGGGCATAGGATGGGGTGAAGCGGGCTCTGGGAGGCACTTACCTGGGGGGCTCCCCAGAAGCAGCGACATCCCCCTCGCTCAGCTGCTAGGCGGAGGCATGGCCAGGCAGCTCTGTGTGCCTGCCTCCGCCCAGAGCTGGGTTCGCAGCTGCCATTGACCAGGAACCACGGCCAATGGGAACTGCGGGGGCGGTGCCTGCGGGCTGAGGCAGCCCGCAGAGCTGCCTGGCCAGGCCTCTGCCTAGCAGCTGAATGGGGGGGGGGTGTCGCCACTTCTGGGGAGCCCTCATGTAAGTGCCGCCCAGAGCCTGCCTCACCCTTGTCCCGTGCCCCACCCCCCTGCCCCCTCCCTCACTCAAACTCTGCTGCTGCTGTGGAGGGGGAGGCGCGGAGCCAGGTAGGGAGTCTACCGGCCCCACCAACCCCCCGCCCCCCAGCACCAGTGGGGGTCCCAGGCTGCACGCTGCCACCCATGCCTCCCAAGTTTTAGTCACAGGTATTCTTAGTAAAAGTCATGGACAGATCACAGGCCGTGAATTTTTGTTTACTGCCCGTGACCTGTCCCTGACTTTTACTAAAAATACCCATGACTAAAACCTAGCCTTTCCTATAAATCCATTGATTTGTTGCCTACATGTTTAAGATTGTCACACAATTGCAAAAGAGGCTGGTTCTTCTCTTTCAGTGCACTCACCTCCGGGTTCGGGTTTGAGTTGCTTGCTGCTGCTGTTGCACCTGCTGTTGCGCCTGCTGTTGTTGTACCTGCTGAGGTGCTGTGCGTTTTCGTGTTGGTTCCATCACTGTTTGGGGCATTCCAGGGCGCACTGAGGGGCTTCCAACATATGGTGAGCCTGGGGGACCCATTGGAGCCCCCTGATGGGGCATTCGAGCACCTGATGGCATCCCAGGGCGCTAGGGAGGAAGCAAAACAGAAATAAATAACTGTTTGGTCACAGTTACTGCAGCAGCAAAGGGGTTGGAATGAAGGCAGCAACTAGCTCCAAGGTAGAGACCAACGAGTTTCCAAGCTTTGACCATTCTAATAAGCACCAGTGCAACAGGACAAAGCGATGGAGTCAGGCCTGGCACTTTCTGGTCATTAGAGAGAGGGGAACCTGATAAGAGTAGGCTGGAGGGTAGTAAGGAAAAAGGTTGGGGTCAGCAAGACGTTGAGCGGGTAGGTGAGTAATTTTGTTTGATAAAATTAGACGTTGAGTGGGTGGGTGATAGATCCAGGCCAAATTACTGCAGCATTCTCTCTTGGGCTGACCGTGAAGGTCATGTAGAAGCTACATCAGGGCCAACATGCTGTGGTCTACATGCTAATCAAGACTGATGATGACACCATATCACACCAGTGATCCTCACTTTATGCTGATTGGGCTACTGTGATCAACAGGGACATTATAGCTGCAGTCAAAGGTGAAACTTTAAAGCCTTGGGGCAGAGAGGTCTCCATCAAGGCTTCCACTTCAGGACACACGATCACTGGGGATCAGAATAAGCCTATAAAGTGAGAAGATGTGGCTACAGAAAAGAGTCAGGAAGAGTCCGATGTGCAAGTGATGTACAGATCAGCTAACAAAGCACCTGCTCCAGCCGCAGGTAGTGGGCAAGTGTTTAACATAACAGTCCAGGTGAACACCAGCAAAGCCAGCATCTTAGGGCTGGTCCACACTAACCCCCCACTTCGAACTAAGATACGCAACTCCAGCTACGTTATTCACGTAGCTGAAGTCGAACTATCTTAGTTCGAACTTACTACGGGTTCACATGCGGCAGGCAGGTTCCCCCGTCGACTCCGCATACTCCTCTCGCCGAGCAGGAGTACCGGCGTCGACGGCGAGCACTTCCGGGATCGATTTATCGCGTCTAGACAAGACGCGATACATCGATCCCAGAAGATCGATTGCTTACCGCTGGACCCGGAGATAAGTATAGACGTACCCTTAGTCCACATCTCCAGACTAGCTAGCCAGCATACTATACTACCCAGAAGACCAGCTCAGAAGACAGAGTCGGCATGGCTAGCAGGGCTGGCTCTTGGTTTTTTGCCACCCCAAGCAAAAAAAAAAAAGACTGGAGTGCCGCTGCCAAAGCAAAGGTGCCGCCCCTTGAGAAGTGCCGCCCCAAGCACATGCTTGGGACGCTGGTGCCTAAAGCCAGCCCTGATGGCTAGTGAGTGCAGATAATAGGGCTGGTATGGGAGACTGACTGTGGGAGCTGCAACTGGGTAAAGGAGAAGGAGGGGGCAGTAAACCTTTGTATAGAGCTGAGAACTTCTTCACCTGTCCCAGCTTGTACCATTGGCTGAGCTGCAAACACTGTTATGACAACACTTTGGAAACTATGTCTCTCTCCTCCACCACATTCCCAACTCCCCAAACCCAGCAGTCAGCAAAAGGAAATGGCTTAAAAATACAACACAATAAATCTTGTATTTAGAATCTCCTGTTGCCTGTCAATCCACAAACTGTGGCTGCCTTCCAGCAAGGAGAAACCGAACTGTGAGCCCTTCTGTTGCCTGTCAATCACTCCAGCTCTGCTGCCCCATGTCCATCCCCTTGGAAACTGCCTGGCCAGGAGAGACAAGATTGTGGGCCCAGCTATCTGCATCTGGAAAGGACAAATTATGGCCAGAACAGCAAAGTTGGGTGGGCCAAGCTAGTTACTGGCCTATATCCTACTTCTCTGAACTTCCTGTTGGCTCCCCTTGTTCTTGTTGGGCATTAAAACAGTGGGGGTACCAAACAAATAGTGCCCGGGACAGAGGAAAAGCAGCTCCACCAAAAAAATGGTTAGTTCCATCCTGGCTGACATTTTCCATTTAAATTCTTATGCCCCTCCCCCCACCTTGTCCACCCCCTGCTTTGCCTAATTACTTTCCTTCTCCCACCCCCACCTCTGCACCTTCTTCTATGCTGGCCTTAGATATGGAACAAACTCCTAATCCCAGTACATGAGGCCCCACCCTTCTCCCCATTGCAATACCTTCAAAAGCCCCACAAACCAACTAGATAAAATGCCTTTTCAACCCAATATTATCAGAGAGGAGAGGACAACAAGGAGGCAACACCTAATCTAACATTCTCCTCAGGGTGCCCTAGTGCATCTGGTCTTCTCTGTGCTCCTGGGGTGAAGGCCTGTCCGTACTGTGTCTTGTGCAGAGCTGAGCACATTGTCAGTGCCGTAGGCCCCTTCAGACAGATGGCAGCAGCAGCGTGCTCCACACTGCCATGGGGTGCTGCCTCTCTCCTTCATCCTTTCCAATCTCACCTTTCTTCTGTTTTACAGCTTGTCCTGTCCTTTGTTTCTCACTCTCCTCCCTTCCAATTCAATCCTCTCACCTTCTCAGTCTCTCTCCTCCTCCTCCCCTTTTCTCAAGCAGTTTCCTCCTGTCACATAGTACAGATGAAGGACGGCACAAGACTGCGCGTCTCCTGGTTTAAATATGATTGTGCTTCTCTTTGCATTCTTACTGCAGACACAAGAGTCCTGTTACAAGAACTTCAACAACAGAGTACCTAAAAGGCTGAAATGATAAAATGAGACTCAGGCTGAATCTGTGCAGCTGCAGAAAACTAATCTGAAATGTGGACAGGCAACGGGAGAAAGAAATGAGGAGAGCAGCAATGCCTGAAATAGTCCAGCAAGTGAGATGGCAGTTTACAATGCAATATGGCTGTAAAAAAGCTAGTTCAGTTTTGGGCTGCATATGAAGAGCCCAAGGTTGAGTACTGTATTCCAAGTGGAGTCCTCCTGGAGCCCAATAGATAGGTACCATGCCTCCCTGCCCCAGGGGACTCCACCTGGAATGCAGCCCTCAACCCTGGGCTCTTCAATAATGTAAAGAGCTTGACAAATGAGAAGTTTTAAAAAGAACAAAAATGACCAAGTGTCTAGAGCAGGGGTAGGCAACTTATGGCACGCGTGCCGAAGGTGGCACGTGAGCTGATTTTCAGTGGCACTCACACTACCCGGGTCCTGGCCACCGGTCCGGGAGGCTCTGCATTTTAATTTAATTTTAAATGAAGTTTATTAAACATTTTAAAAATCTTATTTACTTTACATACAACAATAGTTTAGTTATATATTATAGACTTATAGAAAGAGATCTTCTAAAAACATTAAAAGGTATTACTGGCACGTGAAACCTTAAATTAGAGTGAATAAATGAAGACTCGGCACCCCACTTCTGAAAGGTTGCCGACCCTTGGTCTAGAGAGTGTAAAAGAGCACAATACAGCTTGACTAGGCAACAGCATCCAAGGTGCTGGCAGGACATGATGGCAGCTACTAGCAGCTGACAGGTGTGAACAAACACTAGGGTGATATGTAGTGGTATCACTCGGAGTAATAGGATGAAATTAAGGGTACATCTTCACTACCCGCCAGATAGTAATCGATCTATCGGGGATAGATTTATCGCGTCTAGACGATACGCGATAAATCAATCCCCGAACGCACTCCCCATCGACTCCGGAACTCCACCAGAGCGAGAGGCAGAAACGGAGTCGATGGGGGAGCCGTGGCCGTCAATCCCGCGCTGCGAGGACAGGAGATAAGTCAATCTAAGATGCGTCAACTTCAGCTACGCTATTCTCGTAGCTGAAGTTGCGTATCTTAGATCGATCCCCCCCCCCCCCAGTGTAGACCAGCCCTTAGACTGTATATTAGGGAACCTGCCTTTTGTTAAGATATATCTGTAGTGCAATAGTCTCCCAAAGAAGTGGTGAAAGCCCAATTGACAGCAACATTTAAAATTGAACTGGAACAAGTATAGGAAAAATGGTTGTAAATAATCCTTTACAGCCTCTCCTCTCCTTCCAGGATGACTATAAATGTGACCTAATAGACATTGCCTTCTCGAATGTCTATGACAGAGTTACCAAGTAGAAAATTCAGTGTTTCAATTCCTACTCCTTAGAATATCTCACTTCACTCATTTCCAGCAAGCATTCTAGTACTCCAGTTCCCTGCACTATCCTGTGCCCTATAATCAGGGACCAAGTATTCCAGGATTCCACAGCTGTGGCATTTGCTGCAGACTCCACCCATCGCTGCATACTGGGCAGCACAAGCTAAAATCTTTCATGCACAAACACTGTTTCTAGGATTGTATGCCGATACCTAGACCATAAGCTTTTTGAGGCAGTGATCATCTTTTTGTGATGTGAGGGTGTACAGTGCCTAACGCAATGGGACCCCAAATCTTTAATGGGGGCTTCTAGGGGATACAACCATTCAAATACATAAATAATAGCTCTTATAGTTACAAAGAAAATCAGTACAACAAAATGGCGATCAATTAACATACTGCCAGTCTGCCAACTAAGAAAGACATCAGACATAAAAGCTCCATGCACCTCACTGTGGCTTAATTACAAAAAATGATGTCAGTTTAAACTGCAATGTTGTTGAACTACTGCTTTGCTGAGGATTACAACAGAACTATCCACATAGCCCATGTCCCCATAATTGGAGGGCCCAACGCCAACTCCACTTCTCAATTTCTTTCATAGATTCATACAATTTACGGTCAGAAAGGACCAACAAATCATCTAGTCTGACCTCCTGTATGTCACAGGCCATTAAATTTCACCCAGTTACTGCTTTATTAACACCAGTAACTTGGGTTTGACTAAATCATATCTTCAGAGAGACTTTCAGTCTGTACTTTAAGCCATCAAAAGATGGAGATCTACCACCTTCTTTGGTAGTGTGTTCCAATTGTTAATCACCCTCACTGTGAAAAATGTGTATTGTATTTCTAATTTGAATTTGTCTGGCTTCAGCTTCCAGCCTTGGGTCCTGTTGTGCCTTTTTCTGATATATTACAGAGCCTTTTAGTGCTCAGACTTCTCATCCCATAAAGGTACTTATATTCTGTAATCAAGTCACCTCTCAATCTTCTTTTTGATAAACTAAACAGATTGAGTGCCTTAAGTCTCTCACTGAAAGGCAATTTCTCCAGCCCACAAATAATTTGTCTCTCTCTTTTCTGCACACCCTCCAATTTTTCAACACCCTTTTTTCATAAATTCATAGATTCCAAGGCCAGACGGAGTAGTCAATTATTTTTTGTCAAGGTCCAAATTTCTTGGTCAAAGTATAGTCAAGGTCCAGATTTCAGAGAAAATAGTAAAAAATAATAACGATAACAATAAATAAATATAAAGATTTCGGGATCCAGTCAAAAGCGTCTGGTGGTCCAGACTTGGCACACAGTCCAACTATTGACTACCCCAATCTAGTCTGACCTCCTGAATAACACAGGCCAAAGAACTTACCCAAAATAATTCCAGTTTGAACTACAGCATATCTTTCAAAGAAACACACAGTCTTTATCAGCACTGATTTTATATTTACTTCCAGATCATTGACAAAAATGTTGAATAGCATCAGAACCAGTAATGATCCTTGCAGAACCCCCCTAGAAACACCCCCATTTGAAGACAATTCCTTATTCATGATTACTTTTTGAGAGCTATCTGTTAGCCAGGTCTTTCTAGTTAATGTGTGTTTTATTAATTTTGTATCATGCAAATTTTTTAATCAGAATGGCTTGAGGTACTAAGTTAAACATCTTACAGAAGTCAAGTATATGTCATCTCCACACTTAACTTTATCAGACAAATTTATAATCTCAACACCAAATGAAACTGGGTTTTTTTACAAGACTTGTTTTCCATAAAATCAAGTTGATTAGCATTAATTTTGTTCCCATCCTTCAGTTCTTTACTGATTGAATAGTGTATCTGCTTTTCCATTATTTTCGCCATGATCCTTCTTGCCCTTTTTAAATATTGGCAGAAGACCGGTTTCAGAGTGGTAGCCGGGTTAGTCTGTATCAGCAAAAACAACGAGGAGTCCTTGTGGCACTTTAGAGACTAACAAATTTATTTAGGCATAAGCTTTCGTGGGCTAAAACCCACTTCATCTGATGCATGCATCAGAACACCAGCACTTTTTCAGGCTTCTGGAATTTCCCCAGTATTCCAAGATTTATTAAGAACTAATATCAGCAGGCCAGAAGTCTCCTCAGCCAGCTCTTTTATGACTCGAGTGCAAGTTTGATTATTTAACAATGTTTATCCCTAGCAAATGTTGTTTAACATCCTCATCAGTTACTGATGGACTGGAAAGTACTTTGTCGTCCTTATATGACAGAAGTACATCATTCTGTTTCTTTCCAAATGCAGAATATTTTTGAACACTTCTGCCTTTTCTGCATCATCATTTACAAATTTGCCCTCTCCATCTACTAATGGGTATATACAGTTGCTTGGATTTCTTTTGTTCCTAATACATTTTAAAAAATCCTTCTTATTGTCCTTAACTCTGCCAGCAAGGGATATTTTCCTGATGCCCTGTGCAGCGGCACAGGAGGCAGCACACAGGGCTGCTAACAAGGGAGTTTGAGTGGGAGTTTGCAGGGGGAGGTGGAAGGGGAGGCAGGAGGGAGCGGTGTGTCCTGTGTTCCGTGTCCCCAGGTGCAGTGGGCAGAGACTGCAGCAGCCATGAGCCAAGCAGCAGGGGACACAATGCAGATGATTGCATGTGGAAGCTGCGGTATGTATATGGTGCCAGCGGGGGAGCCTGAACAGAGGTATGTTTGTATGAAGTGCCGCCTAATAGGGTTGCTGGAGGAAAAGATTTGCGGGTTGGAGATGCAGGTAGATACCCTGGTAGAGTTTAGAAGGGGATTCGAGCAGTTGATGGAGGAAAGGCAAGGAGAGGCTGAAGAGGAATGCTCAGGGGTTCAGGTGGAAGCAGGGGCTGTGGTGTGTGGGGGGGATTATCAGAGGGAGAACAAGGGCAGTGGAGGCATGTGACCGTGAGAAGCAGGCCAAGGAAAAGGAGGGCCTGTGAAGGGGAAATAGAACTCAGGAACGGGTTTGGGTGTTTGGATAATGAGGGGGGGGGCAGCAGGTGGTAACTGAAGGTGGGAGGGTGAGGAAGAAGAGAAGAGCAGCTAGTCCCATAGAGAGGGGGGAGGAGTTGATGGAGACAGCACCAAATCTGGGCCCCGGGAGGATACAGGATGGCACAAGGAGGAGTATAAGGGAAAATAGGGACGGACACAGGTTGCGACTAGAGGGAACAGGGGATAGATTAGTAGATCGCACTGTCACCGGGCAAAGGCAGGTTTACGTGATTGGGGACTCCATACTGAGGAGGTTAGACAGGCCTGTGACCAGGGCAGACCCAGAGAACAGAAGGGTGTGCGGTCTACCGGGTGCTAAGATACGGGATGTGGACCTGCGGTTGAAAAGGATCCTAAAAGGAGCAGGTAAGAACCCCTTGATAATCCTTCACGTAGGAACGAATGACACAGCTAGGTTCTCGTTAGAGAGAATCAAGGGAGATTATGCCAGGCTGGGGAAGACGCTCAAGGAAATCGAGGCTCAGATCATCTTCAGTGGGATTCTGCCTGTTCCTAGAGAAGGGCAGCAAAGGGCTGACAGGATTGTGAGGATAAATAGTTGGCTAAGGGCGTGGTGCTATAAGGAGGGCTTTGGGATGTATGGCCACTGGGAGGCTTTCGGAGACAGACAGCTGTTCTCATGGGATGGACTTCACCTGAGTAGGGAAGGAAATAGACTTCTGGGAGGGAGGCTGGCTCATCTCATCAGACGAGCTTTAAACTAGGAATTTGGGGGAGACGGTTGGGAGATGTCCAGTTAATCGCCACGCCAGATTCCAACATTGAAAAGGAGGGTGATGAGATAAGAACAGATATAGCCAGAGGGATGGGATTGGACATAAA